TTGTTCATATAAAATCATATTGTTCTAAACACCACTCCTTCCACTTGAGGAGGGAAAATCCTTTCTATTTAGGTATATATGCACTTTCAAGTGTAACCAAAACAATGCTTTTATATTCCCTTTTCATCTGCGTGCGTACACATGCACTTTCAGATGTTACTGGGTCACTGATTTATGATTTGAAAATAGTTTATATATCTACACGTAAGCTTAAATTACATTTTTAATATTATTTGGTTAATTATTGCCACAATGTTTAACAAGGTAATATTTCCCTCGTGTACAGTTTGAATACACTAGTACTTCTGTTTACAAGGAAGTTGTACATTGCATTAATTTCTAGATACGAAGAAATGCACAGATTTATATCTATTAATGGAATAAGATAAATCGCCCATGATATGGTAAGATTGAACATTTTCATTGATTCAATTTATTTCTATGATTTGAATATGGAACCACAAGATAGCTATACCGATATATTGATCAATACTGTGATTTAAAACATGGATTTTTTGTTACCTTTAACTGATAATACCTGTCTGAGTGTATGCACAAATCACAAACAACTTAATCATTTCAAAATGGCGTACGTCGTGGATGCATGGAAATAGAAATTATTTTCTATTGTGTTTTCGTTTCCCTATTGTAAGATATTTCTCTAAAATTAAGTAATGTTCATTCAGTAGGTGTACCCGAAAATACTGCACGGTGAGTTTGATTTTATGTTTATTCAGATTTTTTGTTTTACATATAGAATAAACAACACATGTAGGTCCATGACGATTCTGTAAATGGGTAAACATGTATTGAACTATTTCTTTAACAGAAATGGATACAGATATCATATCCTACCTGAAAAATGTACTGCTTGTATTTGAGAATTTATCCATTATATGATAATTAAGTGTGTATCAAGTAAAAGTAAATTTCAATACCTCTCATATTCGTATAAATTTTGTAGAATGCTGAAAGAGAAACAAAAAAAAAAAAAAAATGTTGGAATTCATCACTGGAAACTGTAGACTGTTTGTATCATTTTTTTTCGTTTTCGTTTTAAAGGTATGTTTTGATGTAGTCACACAATATGTTAAAACTGTAGAATTTAACACGTTATCTCGTAAAAGTTTTAATGAATTTTATCTTATCATAGTTATATTATTAAGCTAACGAGAGATTTTTTTTAAAGTTCTGATAGAATAATCCTAAACATTTTCACTTTGGTAGAGTGAAATCATAATTATAGGTCTTGTCAACCTTTCAGCTCTCGTAAGCTGAAATGTGCTGATCAAAATCTGTCTGTCTCTCTTTGTCCGATTGTTACTTTTTACCTCCTCTTTAGTAACCACTGAGAAAATCCATTAGATTAAATGAAACTTCACTGAAAGCTCACTGAAATAGCTTGAATTTAATTTTCTTAAATTTTCGGTCCTACGGGTAGGCTAGTATCATAATAGATCACAATTTTACTTTGGGTTATGATAGGATAATCGTTCTAAAAATTCTTTCTCTTAGAAAAGCAGGACCACATTTATATACAAGCATCCTCAGGTGGTGAAAATTCAATTTTGTTCATGCTATGGCCCCAGAATTGAGCCACAATACGAAGTCCAAAATTTAACATGAAAATCTTCACAATAGCAACTTATAAATCATTTGTCACATTATTCTGCAAAAACCCATGGGAGAAAAATGAGGCAAAAAGGGGATGCAAGTTTTTTTATTGAGATGTAGAAGAAAAGAAAAACTTTTTAGAGTAACAGGACCATATCAAATTATACTAATGTGCACAAATCCCTCGGTTTTGTGGATTTCACTTTTTTTTTTTCACGAAGGATGCTGGGGTTAGAATGGGGGTGCCAGGCGTTCTGGAGCCCTACCTATTGAGAAGGTTTGTGAATTGCAATAAGCGTTTCGGGACGTTGCTTAAATTCTTTGGGACTGAAACAAATTGCTTCATTGAAGTGATTTATACATTGATTTATTATATATATATATATATATATATATATATATATATATATATATATATATATATATATATATATATATATATATATATATATATATATATATATATATATATAATATATTTATATATATATATATATATATATATATATATATATATATATATATATATATATATATATATATATATATATATATAACATTATATTTATAACTATTACATGATTATATATTTATTAACTTTAACATTATTTTTTAGGTGGTGTTTGTGTAAAAATATGGTTCAATACTTATTTGAAAATAAACAAAAAAATTATAAAATTTTATTTATATTCATCAATGTTCAATTCAAGTGACCTCCGGCTACCGCCCTTTAATGTTAAGCAACAGGATTGATCGTCAGTAATTGTTAAAAAAAACAAAAACAAATCATCGCACCAAAACGCACCATTATCACGACGGAGGGAGCTGTTCAAATAACATTGACATGTTGGGGGTATTTAAAAAGAACAATTGAACCTTTCAGATGGTTTCACATATCCCCAGTAATAATAAATTGAATAATATAAAATTATACTCTATTTTCAGAAATATTCGCAGGCAAATAATCCAATCTAATACCAAATAATGCCGTATATTTCCTAAGATATGCAGTCATCAATTTAATTTTTTTTAAATGGAAAGAAGCATGTCACGGGTCTCTTTTTTATACCTCCAATATGTTAGTCATGGTTATTTATAGTAAAGATAGATAGCAATCAAGTTGTCGAAAGAACTCGCATATTTTCACGTGTTTTTTTCGGATTTCATAACGCTGCAAGATAACGATCTTCATTTACAATTGTACACACTTTAGACAGTTATTGTTAAAAGATGTCAAAAGGGGACGATGATTCGTGGGAAATTCCTCATCAAATAAGAATTTTTCAATTATATTAAATCATGGCGTTTCTAAATAATAAAGCACCCTAACAACGAACAAATGCCAGTGAAATTTGAAATGACAATGGACCGGACAAAGACCATGGTCTTGCAGATATTTAAGAAGGAGAAGAAGTGCTTGAATTAAACATGGATCAAATGTATTGTTCCGTGTTGGTTAACGCTGGATCATGGAAACTGACTAGACAGACGTGTACTACAGTGTGCACAGCATTTTCAGAAGAAATAGTATTGGTTTGTATTCAACAGCTTAATTTGAGTTTCCTCTGCATCTTTTCCTTTTAAAATTCTGTTGAACATACATCTGCGGCCAATAAGGAAATATTTCCAGACGCAGGGATAGGTGTGTACGTTGGTCGGATAACCAATCAAAGTTGAAAGCGTGATAGCAAAACATAGGAAAGGAAGTAGGTTAAGCAGATTCTATCAAAATGTTACATTTTTCTTCCAATTACCAATCACAAGTACATGTATGTGATATTAACAAACCATCCAGTTTATACACATGTAAATGTCTTGTGTATGAAACCTCAATCTAAACATTAAAGGAGCTTGGACACAGATTTGAAGTTTATATTTTCCAAAAACTTTCAGTATAATATCATTATATATGTTGCTAGAGCATTTCACACAGAAATATTATAACAATGTGTTTAGAAAATCCATTTATTCGGAAAATGTTAAGACTACGAACTTCGGGACGCGTTTGGTTGACTCGCATCCTTGCATTTTCTCGTAAATATACTACATCCTTAACATTTAAGAGAAGTGGAAAGATTGTTGTGCATTAATGGAAATATTAAGGCTATGATCCTGAAAATTTAGAGTAGAAATGTGAGGAACCAAAACCAACTCGGCAATAGTGTCAGTCCGTGCACAGTTATGTGTGCAGAGTAAATAAAATGTACACACCCGGTAAAATGTAAACAATAACAATGACGAGCTCATGCCCATGTTCACACATACAAAGTTACAAACACAGATGTTTGACATGTCATTATGTGGAATGTACTTATCATGGAATTTTAATAGTTTTCATGTAAGTTCAATTCATTAATCAGAAGCTATTTTTTCAAATAAAAGTATAAATTTATAATTGTATAATACTACTATATTCTAAAAAATGATCTTTATCATTGGATAAGTATTACAAAAAGATTCAAAGCTTAAAAGTGAACCATCTTCATTAATGATGTCATTTATTCGTCTAATGTTGCCGGCAAAGATTTGTTTATTATGAAAAGGTTTTCCCCCAATATGAATCATTGGATTATAAAATAAAGGTGAGTCACCAGCAACATCAGACATTATCTCATGATTTTGTAATATTAACCAGGATTTGAAAACGTCTATCCAAAATATAATTATCAAAGTTTTCAGAAAAGTTGTGACATAATCAATCCCACAGTTTATAAATTTGTCTAAGTTAAAATTTGGGATGAGATGTTCCATACCCCTATTTGTAAAAATGAGATGTCTTATCCAAAATAATTTCATAGAAGATATAAAGTACTATTAAGTTTTGGATAAAAAATTCTGGCCTTGACAAACCTATCAAAAAGCTAGAATATCCATTAATTATGTCAAATATTCACAAGGTGATGAAATGTCAAATTCCAATTGTTTTTATGAAAGTCTTAATCAAAACTCTTCTCTGTCAACAGGTAAAACAAAGTTGAGTGAGATTTTACAGGTCAAGAGTAAAGAATGGGAAAAAAAAATCACAAAATACCCTTCAAAGTGACAAAAGACTGTAAACTCAAATGATTTCAGTTTAGAATTATAAACAGAATTTTAGCAACAAATTTATTTTTATTCAAAATAAAAAAAAAATGACTCTGAGTACTGCAATTTTTGTCACTCGGAAGAAGAAACAATAGAACACTTTTATGGGAATGTGATTATACACAATTACTTCTAGAAGAATTTATACTTTTTCTAGAAGATAAGACTTGTCTAGTTATAAATATTTCGAAGAAATCTTTTATTTTAGGTTATATTGATAATTATACTGATATTCAAAATACTATTATCCTTTGGCTTAAATATTATACTTACACAGCAAGATGTACTGAGAAACCTTTGAATTAATGTGCTGCAGTATCACAAATGAAATTTTATTATGAAACACACAAATTTATTTCTTATAAAAATAGTGGAAAGGAAAAGTTTGATGCCCAGTGGAACAGATGAAATCAGCTTTTTTCTTAATTATCTCTCCCTCTTCTCTCTCCCTCTAATGTCTTTATCTCTCTTTCTATTCTAAAAAAAATCATGTATTAATTCAATGTATAATATTGTAAAAGAGATGTGAAAAAAAAAATAAAATTGTAAACAAAACGGCAATACAACTGTGTCCATGTCCCTTTAAACAAAATAACAATAAGACAGAAGACTATTTAAAAATCTTAATTAATGTCTTAGTAGGCCTAGTATTACTAGAGTTTTTTGTATCATTGTGCAAAAATGTAAGGCAACAAATGCTACAATATCATTTCAAATCTATTGTAATGGATCTGAGGATGTGTATGAAGATTATAAACCAATTAGTTAATACCATAAACTGTATCTTTCAAAAAATATTTTACTTCTTAGAATAACAAGAAAAAAACCTCTATAGCCCTCTTTAAAAGATTATAAAGCAGCTCCAAAGAGATAAAATATAGTTTTGATGTTAAGTGTCAGATCAGTAGAATGCTGGATGTATGGATTGTAACCATCATAAAATTGAGTAAGGACAGAAATATAATTTTACAAATTCTGATCATTTTGAATCACTTTGACAGTCCAAAGATTATAGAAATGTTTCTCGATTGCTTACATTTATACAATTTCTTAAGTTATTTATTTTATGTATTTTAGGGAATGCTAGTCTTGAGGGAATACAAACTGGTAAAATAACAGTGCAGTACCTGTGCAGCACCTACAGTACTTACCACAGTTTTATCTCAAACTGGTTAGGTAATATTATTCTGTTATCATATGTACTTCCTTTTTACAGTAAAAGTAGGTCATAGGATATTTTTTACATACCTGTTATAATTGTTTTTCTATGTAAAGTCCATTGTGCGTTATCTGTATATTTCATTTATTCAGGAACCAAAGAATACACACGTTTGTTTTAATATCTTCCATGTGATGAATTGTGTGGAGCTATCTGAAAATAATAAATTTTACTAAAACCGATGAAATTTAAACTTCTTTGATAATTATTGAAAAACATAAGTATGACGTCATCTTTTGTTCCATTGATATTTGCTATTCCAAAAAGTTACCTGTACCTGTCCAATAAGTTATCTAATCTATATAAAAAGAATAATAATGGACAATCAATCTTTACAACTTATTGAACGGCTACAGGTAAATTATTGGATTAAAAAAAAAAAAGACTCACACAAAGTAACAATTGTAATAGATAAATTCAGCATATTTTCCAAAATAATAAAATATATATTCCGCCAAAGAAACACAAACAGGAGTTTTGTGTTTGTTCCAAAAAATGATGCAGAGTATATTGTTACTCACAAAACACCACAGAAACTTCACTTGAATATCAATCAAAACTTTCTGAATGAAAAATTTCCTGATTCTGTTTGAATATCACTTGTTCCGGCTACACAGCCTGGAAAATCGTGTGTTGTTTTCGTCTTTTTGATATGCCTTTCTGGCAAGACTCTGTCACTCTTTCTTATAATGCTGCTGACCTTCTGCTGGAGCTCTTTTATAGGAAAGCACGGATGTAGAGCGGTGCCCAATCTTCTCTGTAATAAGCTGCATATTTACACCCGCATCGTATAGTTATGTTGCTGCAGTTGCTCTTGAAGAATGGTTCGCGTAATGGCTTGGGAATTCTGCATGATGGCAGAGCTTTCCATCTGTTTGTTGAAGTGTATGCACTCCAACAGGGACATCAGCATACCATGTTGAATCTTCAGCTTATCGGAGGGGTTGCAGATATAAGGCATCACATTTCCCTTCTATGAAATACAGATTATGATTTATGAATATAAATGAGTAATTTGCTACATGTTGTGTGTTTTCTACTAGAATGAGCACAAATATTACTCTTGCCTCAAACACAGATATCTCTCATACGTTAATATTGGGCACCGCTCTGGAATGTTTTTAATCTGGTATTCTCTGGTTACGTTTTGTGTCAGATTTTTATGCTGGAGACCAAAACGATTTGTCTTCCTTGTACTCCAGATATTTCGTTCAGAAACCATCTATATGGAAATCTGGCTGTGGGTCCCTACTCTTAAATTGCAGTGCTCTTGATCGGTTCTCAGTGCTAAATGTAGTCCCTATTGGAAGAGAATGTATCAAGCAGCTTTTGGGGTGTCTCTTTCTAAAATGTCTTTAGACCACATATCATCTTCTTGAGCCTCAGTAATAATTTCTGCCTTTTTTCGGTCGATTCCCATCCCCTGTCCAGAGAGATCATTTATTTTTGAATCTAGTACGTCTTGCATACCTCGGAATTTTTCATCATCCAAAAAGCTTACAAATCGACCATCCTTCCGCAGTTGATGTTGAATTGCACATAAAATTTATGCAAGGTGGCTTCAGCAATAAAGAAGCTCACTGTTGATTTCTCCATCACTCATCATCATGATGTCCTTAATCGGAGCACCACCACAGGATATTGTTTTATGTTCTCTCTGCTAGTTATTGAACACAATCATTGTCAATTTAGATTCCTGTTCCGTTTTCTTTGAAAAGCCACTTCTGAAAAAAAAAATTCTCGATTTAATAATTGATATATTTCATCTCTTTGTTTACTACATCCTGAGCGGCCTTTGTTAAATGTTCATCATTGGAAATATCCGGGGAAAAAACATCCGATTTGAGGTCGAAGTTCATTATCTTGACATTCTCACTCTCAAAAACCAAAATACCATTTAATAAAATGACATTTATATTATTACCAGATTGTTCACCCTCTCTGAATTTGTTTTGTGTTAGAAAAATACTTTCTCCCTTAGAGTAATACATGAGTTCAATTTTTCCAGTCACAAGCAAATGCTATTCGAATAACATGTCTTGTGTTAAATTGCCTTAATTCAATTAAAAATAGCACTTACCTGTAACCATCCACTAAGTCAACAATTGCAATGAATTTTATTAATTTCTATTGTAAACACTTACCTGAAACATACCCTTAAAAATACAATACCTTAATCTTTACTTGAAAAGAATTCTAAAAGAGTAAATTATGAGCACAATAGATTAAATGTTTTAATAAGTTATAGGCCTAAAACTGAACATTCTGTAAGAAGAAATAAATGTTGAACGGCCTAAAACATTTACACAATTATTTTTTTTTATTATTTTAATAATGTGAAACTGTACAAAGTGAATTTTATGCTTCAGGTCACACGCACGCCTAGCTAGGTTTAAAATAAATTCCTCTTCGAAAAAAAAAAAAAAATGGAATTTTAAATATCATTCCTGTTTGCTTTTACATTTAGAGAAATAACTCATCATCTCGTAGTGAAAAAAATGTGCTGTGAAATTACTATCAGAGTTTTATAAGAAGAAAACTGGTTATATAAACAGTATGCGATTATAAAAGAAACACAGATGATTTTATAGATTAGGTAACTTAAAACGTTCGGTGATTTTTTTTTTTTTTTTTTTTTGTCAGTCGTCGGATCACAATCTATCAGCTCGTCAATATTTTTGCTAAACCATTCACTGTATTGGAGTGAATGGTAATTTTTTTTCAGTGTAGGTTGAGCTGAAAACCAAACTTTTACAATATACAGTGATATATATCGCTTCAACTTTATTTAAAAACTTAATCTTAAAATGTTGCTATCAAAAATTAAAAGGAAATGGAAGTTTATGTCATTAAACACATAGTATTCATGCACCTACAATTAAAAGGAATTAAATATTAGACCATGACATTTTGGAAGGCCCTTTAAGTGCGAGAGGAAAGAATGCGAGTGGGGAAAGGTATTAAAAGATTCTGTCTTTTGTGTGTGAACTTTGGAAGCCAAGGAAAAATAATCTAACATGGTACAGCAAATATCGTACTTCACCTTTAAAAACCAAATAACAGAGAAACACACCATATGTTCAGTTTGTTTATTATCGTCATCATGATTTTAATTGTAGATATCAGTCAACCATTTCCACAAGAGGAAGCATTTTCCTACAGCGAACCATGTATGCGGTGATATAAATCCAATGGACAAACTACTAGACAGAGTTGCAAGCCATTCTCAAGAAATCCAGTCTACATCGAGTGCTCACAAAAGGACGCAAGTCAATATGTGTTTACTTTGGAAAACGTTTTACTTCTGAAATGCAAAGCTGACTTTAACCTAGATATCAAATCTAATACTCTTAAAACTCGATAGTGTTCTTTTATGTTAATTTTAATAAATACGCAGTTTTTTTTAATTGTTGTTTTTTCCCTCCACCTTCATATCATTTGAATTCTATATGTGATGTTAAACGTAGAATTAATTTTGGACAGCACAGCCTGATTTTACGCATTCAATTTGACATGTCCACTCATTTTTCTATACCGAACAGAAAAAAAAAAAACTGTAAAAGATGGTAAATACATACAGTTCAGTTATATCGACCAGAATTTCCTCTGCTCTCAAGTGCATGTGTAAAATATAAAGCTATATATATATATATATATATATATATATATATATATATATATATATATATATATATATATATATATATATGGACCGCTCTCTGACAAAACCGGGCTTAATGACATAAGCGTTGACGTTGAGAAAAACGTGTTTATTGTGACGTCAAATTTTGGCGTCTAAAAACGCACATGTTCCTTTTTTCTCCCTTTCCACATTCCGTTGTTCAGTTTTATTTTCAGAGTAAAAGTATAAATGAATTATGTATGTTTGATCGTCATATCGTGTGTAGAATACGTTTCTTTGCCATTTTTAAATATTTTTCTTAAGATACCACCGATGGATATTCTAATATTATTACATTGTATTTACTGTTACATGTTTGAATCCTACAATGCATTTCACGGACAATTTTAAGATGAATCTACACGATATACAAATGCATTTATCAAACTTTTGTTAAGTTATTTTCGCTAGTTTTAATATCCTAGTATAATGAATAATTAATCATACGCTGAAACAAATAGAGTCAGTGTCAAAATTTTTATTTATACGTAAACCCGCCTCTATTAATGTAAAGTGTTATGATCCACCAAACATCACATGCTGAAAAGCCATCTTTACATTATGTCACACGACGCAGACCTCAAAGCGAGAGAAGGGATAAGCACAGAAAGAAGAATGGCCGATGAAATATCAGTAAGTCATATAAGTATAAAATGTTTATACTTTGAAAGTTTGCATACATGAAAATTGACAATCTTAAATGAGTTTGATTATTTTATAATCTTCATGCGTTCTCGTAACATACAGCATCTGTTCTATGCAGCATTTGTAGGTTGGTGGATCGAAATAAATATTTTTTTCTGAAATTTTCATGTATGAAACTGCAGTTAATTTTTTTTTTCTCATTGTATTGTTTGCAGTTCTTCATGTAGACATTTTATATATTCACAAATCAGCAAATACTTAAAAAGCAAGTTCCACGTTTGCACTGCTGTATTTTTTTCTGTGTGTGTTTTAACGCCGGCGTTGCTTCTGGGTTTTACGTTATATATAAAATTCCTGAATATTTCTCTAAAAGAATAATTAAATCAAATTAATATCTTAAAAGTTAACATATTTTAATGTTATTCTTTATTCTTATGAGCGGATCTAGAGGGCGTCCCGACCCCCCCCCCCCCCCCGAAATTTGTGGAGTAATCAAAAATAGATAGTAAACTAACAAAAAATGACCTTGGGCCCTCTTCCTCTCCTATAAAACTAGGACACCTATTAAAATAGTAGGAGGAGTAATTCTTTTGAGGCTCAAGAAGTTAGGAAAGCGGTTCTGCCTCCACACCCCCATCCCCGACCAACTCCTTTACGAAATAAGGTTTTCGCGTTTGAAAGTAGTGTACGTTTTTGTTTGTTTAGGTTTTTTTCTTTTTACTCGTCATCAAATTTATGGTGTAGATTAATTTTTACTGGGGTGTATCCCCCACCCCCGGAAAAAATCTTAGATCCTCGCTTGATTCCGATACATAATGGAGGGATACAGAGAGAGTGGGATATTTACATACCACCTGAACTTGGCTGGAGTGTCGCTAGCCAAGAGTTTGTGATTCACAAATCATTGGCTAGCGAAGATGGACCAACCCCCTCCCCTTTATAACCAAAATATAACGATCCTCTACTCTATTTTTAAAAACATTCAAATCTGTCATTCTTATTAATCTGTACCTTTATTAAGAATTCACCCACACATATAGTATTTTTGTTCTTATGGGTGATTATTTTCCTGAGCGTTTACAATTTGTAAAAGAGCTGTACATAACTATCATCAGTAAGTAGAAACTAACACGAGTCTGTACAAGCATAGAAAACAAGTGTGTAAACGCATACGATTAAAAAAAATCAGTTTTTACAGTATACTAATATTTGGGATAGATATAGCATCAAATTAAACTTTAGTTTAATATTATATTAAATTTTGACATCTAAACAGCCATGTGCTTTTCCTAGTTTCGGTTTATAAATTTCTGAAGATCGAAAAGTGCATGTCGTTTTAAGATATACAAAATCAGGAAAAGCTGGCAAAAGGGGAGATACTACCAAGACAAATTAAAAGAAAGATGTTCACCTAAAATGTGTCTCCGAGATGGTTGATTTGATTTTAATAGAGCAAATCA